TGGTTTCTAATAAACTTCCGAGCTCCATTACAGGACTAGGAGTTTCTTCTCGTGTTATCTTGGACAAAGATTCTGTTGAACTCATTATAGAAGTATCCTTACTTGATAAATTATGAAGTGTTTTATTAGAATGTATGTTATTTTGCATTGTTTCTACTTGACTAAGAGCCTCTAATAAATATTCATCACTGGGGCTTGAAGAATTTAATTCAGCATGTATATCATTAAGATTATTTATAGCACATTCAGATGCAGTAATGGTTTGAAGAACTTTTTTTTCTATCTTAGATGTAGAACTATTTTTAACTATTAAGGACACATTACAATCAGTAATTCTACTAGGTGTGTCTGTTCTAAAAGATGTTGAAGTATTGATCTGAAAAGATTAAATAAATTAAGTAATTGGATTACTGAAATAATAAAACATACAATCTTACTGTATCAGACAATTTTGATAAGGAAAGCCCATCATTTTGAATTGTTTTATGTACAGAAGTGCTATCAGCTGCTAGAAATATAAACATTGCAGAAATAAAAATACATTTAAATTATAATTTATATTTATGCATTATCAACTTTTTTCAATAATTACTTATTAACTTTTTATCATTTGTAATTGCATTAGATTCTCCATTTATGAAATAATTGGCTTGAACTTCACCAAACATCAATAAAGCATTTTCTTCAAGAAAATAAGCAACATCTTTCCTTAAGTTTTTTCTAAAAATGTATTGATACCAAATGTAGAAAATATTTATATCAAACTGTAGGCACAAAGTATAAATTATCAACATAAATTTTTAGGTTTTTCTTATTAAGTTTTGTTTTATTTAAACTTCCTTTATCTAGTAGAACAACACCATCAGAATCACATTGAACAACAGCATGGTGCATCGATACTGACTAATAAATATGAAATGATATAACAATATTAGTTTGAACAAATACATAATTTGTCAATTACCACTAGGTTGAAGGGCATTTTAAATAAAACTTTAAGGAATTTAAAATGAATGTCTATAATGGTAAAAAACCTGTTTTATTTCCAACAAACTGAATTCTACTGATTTATCTAATTGCAACAAATATATTTTGAAAATGAGTTTGGTTTCTTCATTATTTTGTTTTATTTAAATCCTACTTAAAAATAATTTTTAAATATACTTTGATATTAACTAAAAATAATTTGTAAGTTTTATAAAGAGTTTCATTTATAAAAATATTTATGTTTTTAAATATTAATATTATTTACATTTTTCAAAAAAATAAATGAAAAGTTCTTGAGATCTAAAATAAAAACACATTTTAAGATTTCAAATCTATTATCGATTCAAAGTCTATTAAATGCTTAATTTTAACACTTAAGGATTAAAAATATAATAAATAATTCCTCATAATTTGATCTTAATAAAATTTAAAAACAAAGTTTAACATAAAGCCATCTCATGATCATTCTAATAAATTATGGATTAGAATTATCAAATATCCCAAAAAACAAACAAGTGGTAATTGACCAAAATTCAAAACAAGATTATTCTTACCGGGTGTTCAATGTATATATCATTTAAGGGATGTCGTCCAATTGTATTATCACCATCTTTTAATAGGTAACGTCCATTATCAACCATATCATTTAAGACAATGCATCCATACTAATCAAAAGTAAAAATAGGTGAATTTAAAATAAACAAGTTGTTATTTACCATAGAAAGAATTATATTATACATACATTTAAAATTCATCTATACTTAAACTATTTAAAACTGGTAAGTAAGTAATTAGACTAATATATTTAGTTTTTTTTTTCAAACATATTAATAAATATTAAAAAATATTAACAATTCTAATGAATTATAATATTGTAAGTATTAGGAACTGGTTAAAATAATATAAAAATATGGTATTAATAAATTAACTTCTTTATTTTTTTTTTCAATTGAAAATTATAGAAACTAGAAATTGTACAATCTGTATATATTATAGTAAAATGGGTAAATAAACTTATAACGTTACGCTAAATGTAGCAGCATGAAAGAGGGAATTGCATTGACAATACTTCCAAATATGAACTCAATTTACTACTTACAAAAAAAGTATTGTACAATATGCTTCCACCTCACTATCCCACCATTAAATATAATTAAAATATAGGTATAGGTATGTGGTACTTACATCATTAATTTTTTCTTGTCCGTTGTCCAGTTGGATATCAGTACTTACAATGGCTTGTGTGGATATCCAATCGGAATCCACGTCTGTGTCCATAGTTGTTGCTGTATTAAAATTGTTATTTTTTTGATTAAAAAATTTTGAAGGGTAAAAACGGTTTAGATGCAAGTCCTGTAAGTTAGGTATCCAGTAACTTTCATTACACAAAACATTTCACAGACTTGCAATTATTACGAACTATTAGTTGCTATTGCCAAACAACTGTACATTAAATTCATCAGCATATTGTATACAGACTACAGTGTGTCAATGTTTATTAATTTATTAAAATCATTTTTTTAAATAAATAAATAAAAACTAAGCACTAAAACTAAACCCACAACGTCAAGTGATAATATTATTATGACTTTTGTTTTGATTGTAAATCCGCGGTTTAAATGTTAGATAGAGCATCATGATAAGCAGCCGTTCATTTCGTTAAAAAATAATTTAAAAATTTGAGAGAAATATATATTACAGCGCCATCTAGGTTTATAATTATATTGTTTTTGACATTTTCTACAATTTTTTGATCTTGACGATACCTATGATTTAAAACTAATAATCGTAAACAATAAACATTTTAAAAAAATGTCTCAACGTATCTATATAATATCTAATTAATAATAATAATTACAATTTTTTTAATACCTAAACATTAATTTTAAATTTTAAAACAATAACATTGTATGATATTATATATTAAGTAGATATTTAAAAATTGAGTTTTTGATTAAAAATATTAACAATTTTTCAGTTTTTTATTTTATTTTAAATGCCATTATAAAAGTATTGTGGATCCAACTTGAATGTACCTAATATACTAAAATACTGTTTACATAAAACATTCATTCTTCAATTTATTATCTTTTATCATATTTTATTTATGTTTTAGTTTGTTTATAATATTTTTGATTTTTAAAACAGTTTTTGTTTTAGGTTCGTCAGTCTGGCACCCCGAGAGTAAAATATTAATTTTTTTTTTAATTAGTTACCAATTTGTAATAACTTCTAAACGCAAAATCAGAATTTGTAACCAAAGTCTTAACCTTCATTTTAGTATCTTCTTTTTCAAATGCTGGGCTGTTGTAAACCTGGTACCCCGAATTCAAAATTTCAACTTCAATCAAACTATATAAATGGTATGTAATTTGTCATTTTTACTTATCTATCAAATTCAATATTAATTTCCTTAAGTTAATCAGTTTTATATGCATATGTGCGTGTTTAAAAGTTTAAAAATATTACTAAAAAAACTTAACACATAAAATAATACTTATTATTCTAGTATTTTAGACATGTCAAATATTAATTTTAATACCATAATTATATTATTACTCTTATTTTTGATTAAATTAAATTTTAATGATCAATCAGTTTTGTTTTGATATTTTCCACTTAAATTATAAAATGTGGGATACCTACATCAGTGACTATTTTTATTAGGTATAACTCTCCAAATATATTCTTTCTGATATTGATTTCTAAATCTGACTTTAATGTCATTTTCCCAAATGTTTCAAAGCAATCCACTGCAGATGATTCATCACTTAAATTAAAAACCAATTTATCGTAATGAACCTCCTTCCTACGCACCATTATTATATGTGATGGTTTGCTTGGGAATTTCAAAAATATTACGTAAAATTGCCTATACAATATTCCTTCAAAACTAAATTTTTAAATTTAATAAAATACAGAATGTGTTTGTTATTTAAAGATAAAAAAAATGTTGTGTTATTTGTTCCTACATTTTATTCTAAAAAACCCAAAAATGTATTATGTTGAGTAAATTGTTTAATTTTTATTAATATTAAAATAGTTTCAAATTGCCTATATTTAAGTTCACAATAATTATTCAAATAAGCAGACATTCATAAAAATTAGGTATCTACTAAATACTGATGATATTGATTATTGAAATAGAAGTAAGATATTAGAAGAAATACATTGTAAATATGGCCAACCGTTGGTGATGTAGCTAAATTATTTGGATTTAACTTTTACATATTTAAACAATAGTAGTATTAAAAGTGTATGTTTTATAATCATTAGATGTTTTATTTACGATTTGAATTTGGATAAAAATGGGTTGAAAATACAGTTTTTAGGTTTAAATAATAGGCTGTATAACTTTGAATTACAAAATATAGTGTTCATTTTTTCCAACTTGATAACCTTAAAGAAATCACGGAGTCGATTCTACTTTGTAGACAATTCAACATGATCTGCATATCTAAACAGTCAAATGTGTTGACTAAGAACAAAACATATTAAACAATATTTATGCGTCGAACTGTTTATAATTTAACCATTTCAAACCGCTGTTTACGCTCTTCTATATGATCTATTTAATAGTATAGGTAGACGTAGTTTGAGACAAATTATGCAATCACACTAAAATTGATACGAATCTTCTTCGATTGGACTATCACATAGTAATGCATTATAAAATAATTTTCTACGTGTATACATATTATATAAATAGGATAATAATAATAATATGAATTATATAGTAAATTTTTCGTCTTGACCATCGAACAACCGGTCGCCTGGTGTTTTCACTTTCGCGCTCGCGGCTTATAGGTGAAAGGTGTTCGTCATCCGTGTCGGGCTTATTCCTGCACCACCACAACAACCACCACCACCACCACCACCGCCACCACCGCCATCACTACCTCCACCACTGACGTCACCACCTTACCCACGTGAAGATCACTACGACGGCGGCGGCGATGACTCAGGGTGGGAGTAGAGGAACACGTGACGACCGCGACGACTGACCGAACTGAGTTTGCAGAAGCGTTCGGGTGTCCGGTACGCAACCATCGAAAAGATGGCAAAAACAGCATCAGCGATGTCGGCGGTGGTGACGGTAGTGGCGTTGGCGGTTACGTGTTGTTTCGTGTTAGCGGCCGGTCAAGATTCGGACGCGGCAGCGATGATGTTCTCCGATGACATGTCTATGGGGCCGGACGAGCTGACCGCTCGGCCGCCGCCTCTGTCGCCGTCGTCCCCGGACATGTCGCCGGCCGATCACACGTCAACCGGCAAGTCGGGAGCCACCAACATACAGAAAGTGTACAGGACGACCAAGGCGGTGGACGCGATGTCGGCCATGGTGATGATGATGGCCGCGGCGACGGGCACGGACGCGGCAAAGGCGACGGGCACGGACGCGGCAAAGGCGACTGGCACGGTCGCGGCGAGGACGGCGGTCAACGACACAGCGACCAACGGCGTGCCCAACACTTCCGACCTGGAGTGGCTGTTGAACGTGTACAACCCGCACCGGTGGAACCCACTCCAACTTCCAGCCGCGTCTAAGCTGTCCGTCGAGTGCCGGGACGTCATGAAGACTTACCTGGAAGCGCTGAGCCGGGGATCGTTTTGGGCGGCTAAAAGTGAGTGTCGCATCAGACATCGAATCGTATTACCTATTATATATTTACACGCGCGACTTGTGATAACGCGAAAACACGCCAAGACCGCCGTGGTTACCGGCACATACCTTATTATCCCGAGGATCGCCTATTTGCTCAGAGCAGGACGTTACCACGTCTGATATTATCTTATATTGTTGTACGTATAGTAATAGTAGTAGTAGAGGTGATTTTTAAGATCAATAAGTGTTTAGTATTTTGGTATTTAGTACATCTTGTGATATGATGTATTACGTTGTTGCCTCAGTTCAAAATTGCAACAACTCAAAAAAAAAAAAAAATAAATAAAAAGAAGTTATTTACGCGCGATATTATTTGGCAGGTATATTTGCTCAAAAACGAGGATATGGTTAAATTTTGGCTTTATAATTACAAGTGTATTCCAAATTTGGGTTTTCAATCTCAAAAAATAAATATAACTGATACATAGTAATTAACTAGTTATAAAATATTACTTTAAATGTGATTTTATTTAAGTTGTTAAAGATTTGAACCCAATTATCGATGTAATAAGACGAAATCATGGAATCACGGAAACATTATTGAAATATAATATTATGATATTTAAATTACCAAAAGATCATTAAGCTTTGGTTAGAATAAAACCAAATATGGCTGTAATTTGTTTAGGTAGTATGACGACGCGGTCTAAATGTTTCATAAATGCATAACAATAAATTTTCGTGTCGGGAAAAATGTGTAGAAAGATGTTATCCGTTTATTTCCTCTTCTTTATGCACAGTAAATTTAACACTACTAGAGCTATATAAACATAACTTACCGTAGATAAATTTCACGATTTACTTCATTCTCGAAGTGTCTTATACTTAGAATAGGTACATCTAAGATAAACTATAATATGTTGTTCGTTATTTCAATGTTCATAATTGTTAAACTTACTAAAAACACAAATTACGATGAGAAGTGTTTACTGTCTACTCATTAATAACAAAATTCGTGTAACGTTTAGGTATGTAGTGCGTATAATATTATGCGTACCTATTATTACAACTATCAAAAGTTTAAGTGATTTTTACAATTTTAACATTTTACCGTAATATTTAAACAATCACGTATTTTTTCAACAAACTATTCTTGCGGAGCTATTTTTTTTTTTATGCATAAGAACTTGTGTATGTTTTAGTAAAAGTCTTATTGACGTTATAATCACTGCAATTGTTTTATTAAGTAGAATACATCTTCACCCTGTAACAAACAAATTTTTTCGTTTCTTAATAATTGTATTGGCAATACAACTGCCAATTTATGAATAAAATTGCATGTTACGAGAAAGTTTGGACACTTATCGTCTGTAACCGTATTAATATATAAGTAAATATTAAACATTTACATAATATCTCAAGGCTCAATGGTTTGTTACGGAAATTTGAAATGGCCTATTTCTATTATCTACATAGAAATATCGTGTTATTCAAAGTGTGTATATAGGTACCACCGTATTGTGTAAATTCGTTTTATACATTTTATTATTCAATAGATATTCACGTTATATTTCTCTCATTTTTAGTCACATCAAAAATTATTATTAATCATTTTAATTGATCTTAGTTGATAACGAAAAGACATTTAGGTTATTTTAATGATTTCATAAAACAATATTGAAATCGTTTTGATTCGCAAATGTTTTATGCATCTAAAGCTAGTCAATTATACATACATAAAAAATTGTAATTCGTATTGAAATACTTTGGAATTCTCCATATTTAAACAAATCATATGGTGAACAGTTATGTTTATTAACAAATATTTACAACTTGATAATATAATTTCTTTACATAATTTACATAATAATAGGCACATACTTGAAAATATTTTCACTATCTTATTACATGTATAAAACACTTGACTTGATATGTGGATTTAGTATACCTACTTAAACATAGTAGTTACCTATACTATAGTCAAAATTTATACTTGTACACGGTCCTTCAAATATAATGCCAATGTCAATAAAATATTTCGTTCACATTTAAATGGCTCAATTTTTCATATACTCCAAGCTTAATTACTTATTATAAACACATACTTGTACCATATATAGGTTTATAAATACATGTAAAAAAGTGTTAAGTAAAATTTATTACGTGTGCAGGAGAATTTGATGTACCCCATAAATATATGATATATTAAATAAACCTCAAAGTATGTATATTCAAACCTAAGAAGAAAGTAAAACTATGTAAAGACAATAATGTATACATTTATGACGCCCTGAATAAATGCGAAAAAACCAGTCGGACTACCTTGAACGAGAAACTCTGTGTTCAACGGTACTTTCCATTGAATCTTGTGATGCTAATAATTGTGTGTCAGTAATAAAAACAATTAAAAATACCAATTTTCTAAACTTCCGATTTATGTTTGTCAACATTTTTTTAGTTGATTTACTTTTGTTTTATTATAACCTTTTGTACATATTATGTACAATAATGAGAATCGTATATTGTTAACAATGTTAAAATTGAAAATATCCCGAAGAAAGTTCATTAAAATTTTTTTAAATGGTCAATTATTGCATTACGTTGCGTTGTACAAATTAGAGTAATAAGTGAGTGGTACATAGTTTAAAAAAATGTTAATTATAAACAGTGGTTACATAAATGAAAGAAAATTATTTCAAGTTAAACGAATCAATCGTGCAGTGTTAATTAATACGAAGACAGAGAAAATGAACAAATTAATTTTGCTATTATGTTTATTAAAATTTTTTTAAATTTTTTTAAATTTGCTTGATCAAACTTTTGATTTATTTTCATCAGATAATTTGGTAGAGTTTGAATGCGGCTCATAAAAACTTTCTAAACTGATTTCGGAAATGATTTAAAAGACTACGAGAGAACTCACGTTTTCAAACAACACTAAATGGCCATAACATATTTATTTTATATACTCGAATGAGTGCGGTTTTCTGGTGACAGTTATGCCTTAAGATATGTTATTTAAACTGTGGTCAACATTTGTTTGTTTGTCTAATATATATATATATATGTGTGTGTGTGTGTGTGTGTGTTTATATGTTTGTTTTGAATTAAGAGAAACCGCATGATTTATTTCTTCTCCAATTTCAATAGAACGTGCTATAAAATAAAAATAATATACATTGTATACTAAGAAAATATTTTAACGACGAACAATGCATGTAATTTAATAATATGTGTGTAATGTGTATATATTAATAATCGTTAATGATATTGAATTGATTAACTATTTTTTTTTTAAAGGAATTTTAAAAACAATTTAAAGCAAATAATACATCGACTGTCAAAAAATGACTGTTTATAATATATTTCAAAATCTATATCAATTAAAAAAAAATATTTATGCACATAACATAGATAAATACATTACATAATAAAATCTTATTACTAGTACCTATATATTATTTTATGATTACAAAATTCTACCTGGACTAGGTATTAAAGAAACTGAGCAGTTTTATAATTTTGATCAGATTGCCTAGATGCCCAGATGACCTAGAGGCATTTGAAATAAATTTAAATAAAAATATGAAATTTGTAATTAAACACCAGTGATGATTAATAAATTTCTTAAATAAAATTCAATAGAAATCTATTGTTTTTTTAAGTTCCAAAATTATTATTAAATCACACCGAAAATGCAAAGAACGTACCTACGTAGTGTATAATTTGTATAGCTTTATAGCTATATAGATAAATTTCATATTTATAATCATTCGCTTCAGAGCTTCGAAAAATTGCTAAGAATGTTTTCATGGTCCGGAGGTGTATATAATAATTTCGATTTTCTTGTCGTCTTAGCCATGTAGCAAAAAAAATTTAAAAATATTCATATTATAAAGTAGGTACAAAGTACATACAGACGAAAGCCCAAAATGCATGTTGTCAAAAACTATTAAGATTCAACTAGAAACATTTGTGAGATGCGATGTAATCATCGTCTAACAAAATCCATAATAATACAAAATTTGTTATTGAATTAATGTAATCAATACAAGTTATAACTACTACTACTACTACTACTAATACTAATAATAATAATAATTTATGAATAATAGTCACACTATGTAATAACAATCGCCACATCGATAATAATATATGTACATTTCTAATCCCCGTATAGTATAGTGGCTGTTTAAACGTTATATTATTATTGCAACTCGAATGGAAAGTATAAATCATAATCGGCGTTCATCACTTTCACGGGGGCTTGATGCAATCGTCAATATTATTCGTTACACGTCCGAAAACGCTGTCCAATAGGTATAATATAATAATAATAATATTATACACATACGTTAAAAGAGGCATCCGTAAAATATTAGGAATAAAATTATCATAATATTGAATACGAAAATGCTGTGTTTTTGCTATTCTGGCGTCAGCACAATATTCGGTGACCTGACAATCAATCGTACTGTGAAATAATAATAAATATCAATTTAATGCAATAATATAATATTATTATAATAATAATACGTCTAGTAAACGAAATAGTCGCTGGTCGTCAGTTGTTTATTATATAATACTACTATATAGTATGTACACTATGATAGGTACGACCAGCGTGTTTCATCGTTCGGATATCGATGCAGAACCACGAGTACGCATGTTACGAGTATAGATAATAACAATTATTTTTGTCGGGTAAGAAACGGTTATCAATCCTTATAATAACATCATATTATTATTTTATTATTAACTACCTCTAACCACTCGTTTTTTCGTCAGTTTATTCTCGTCAATGTTTAGTTATTATCTATGAACAAAATTTCAAAAAAACCAAACGCCGTGTCTAGTTTTGAAACGAGAAACCGACGAGGATGTGGCGACTGTCCGATGAAAGCGTTGCTAGGAATATTATTTTAGATTAACATTTTACTATAAAAATAACCAAGTCCGACGACTCTTCTCCAGAACCGGTTTGCAGAGTGATTCATAATCCATAAACATTATTTTTAATTGAATTCGGCTACATTCGAGCTACACGAATGAAATAAATGCGTTGATGTTTTTAGTGTCTCCTCGACGATGCGATGATAATAATTTATAATTAATAATAATAAAATCGTATTCACAAAATTTTTAATTATTCATAGTACTGTGAGTTGAATTTTTTTTTTAAATTTCGTTACTTTCTTCTGCAGTTTTGCAATTTCTATAGATAAGATAATTGACATTATTAATTTACCGTAAATTATCATTAAAAACGTATTATTTATTTCATTATACCTTCACGGGTTTATGAGAATATCTTTAAACACGTTTTCAAAAATTGAATTTATTATGTAAATCTTGCAAAATCGAAAAAGAAAAACTAATTGGTAATACCTGATTTTAAAATACGAATTATCTTGAATTTTGACTGAAAATGATTTATATTTCAATATTATGGAAATGGAGCGCGAACATTTTATTAGTAATAATAGGCTACTGTTCTAATGTTGCACCTACAGAGGTATAAAATTAAGAATTATAGTGACCTTATAAAAAATCGAATAAAATCATGGATAATAATTGCTGTCAAAGTTATCCTCGATATCACAGTGAAGCAAGTAACAAATATTATTAATATTTATTAAACTTCATTGAAATTTTAAGAAAGTAAATAAAGGCCTTAGTAAAGTAGATATATACCTTTTTTAGTTAACGGGACGCGTGCAGACCGTGAAACTATAATTGTATGACTTGCTCGCGTTGTCGTGCGATAGCGAATGTTTTTTGACGATGTCCGTTTTAAGATCTGTCGGAAAGTAAAATATGACGTCAATCGATCTATGTGAGGTTCACACAATACGGATATCCGATAGATATCTGGTGGAGATTACTCGTAGACAAGCACGAGATATTATATCGACGATGAAACAGAATATAAGCGCGTTCGTATCTATATATGTATATTATAAGCGAGTAATACTGACTATTAAATTATTATTACTATTTCCGGTATGCGGAATCATTATGTATATACTGTGTATATATTTTGTTTTATTATTGTTATTAGTATATAATACGCGAATCAAATGCGCGGTGGAAATTTTGTTGGTGATATTATAAAGAGTGAGAAAAAAAAATATGGAAAAAAATGTACACCGTTGATAATTTGTCGATTTGACACACCGATATCACCGTGCACTTGTAATATTAACACGTGTATATAGACAATCATTAGCGCATTATCGAAATGTATAAGATCGCAAGAAACGGTAAAGTCACGCGGCTTTCTATGAGTGGTCCGCGAACCTCCGCGCCCGTTTTCTGTATACGATAAATTTTTTCTTCGCTGAAAAACATTTTTAGACGATTTATTATTATTTTACGAACATGAGGAAAAATTAATTTAATAAATCACTTTACGCGTTCGCGGTGTTATTGTCATTTGTTATTATTTTGGTTTTTTACACACGTGTAGATCGAGTGTTGTTCGTAGAAGCTGTCTCCTCATAACACTGCTTTTAAATACCCGTAAAATGCGTACGTTATAATATCGTGTCAAGTGTCAACTGATATATAATATACTATTATAATAATATAATACCACATAGACATCGAGTGACGTGCTATTAAAGTGCTAGTTATTGGCTACATATCTTTTTTGACTGCAGTGTACGAATAATGAGGAAATGCCGTTGTCACTAATATATTATGTAGGTATTATACATCGGCACTTACGCGTTGTATAAACGGCATTATACATTATAATGTTACTAAAGTTGTGTGTAGACTAAAATTGGTAGGTAGTCTTTAGTAGTTTACAATCATCTTCTGCCGAAAAACTTATAAGTAAGGGATAATCATCGTATACACATTAAAAACAATTTTGAATAATTTTGATATGATACGAAATTATAGAAAATATGTATTAAAAATAATAACGATTGAAACACAAAAAAAACCAAGTAGATTTGATATCTTAATCCCTCCCATCATGTTTACGAAACTGTATATATTATATAATATATACATACATTTAAAATAATAAATCTTTATAAATTAAATATATGAGGCAATATAATATATTAAATAATTAATAACGTCAGAAGCTCATTTGGTTCTGAAAAAGATTATAGGAGACTCGCCTTACACATTTTGTAGTCACGCTAATGAGTATTACTACTTAATGGCTACCGATTATAATATATTTTACCTACCTATAAGTATGTGTGCGTAGTGCGTACCTAATATAGTTTTGTGCTTCAAATATTACATAACGTTTGTTAGCATTTTGATGATTTTGAGAACTTATGCAAGTAGTAATATGACTCTTATATAAATATTTACATTTTAGTAGATTACCAACTATATTTCATTAACTTGACCTGCATTAGTATACTATTAATAATAAAGTTATGTATGATGCGTTTTCACTATAATTTATGGATTATTGTTCTAACTATATAGGTTTACTATGTCTCATAATTGTTACTCAATAAATGATTTCTACAAATTAAAATGCAATGCAATTAATATATCTAACTTATAATAAATTATAAGTAATATATTTATGACGCGATTCCAAGTGATTATCACGTTTTATTCCAAATATAAACATATTTATTAGGTTAATCGATAGTAGATATCTATTTAAGTTTCATTATCTTAGTGTACTAACTTACAGATTACACCAATCAAATAATTTGTAAGTTATTTGTTACCTAATTATAATTATGTGAAAATTCAAAACATAATAATAAAATTTTATAAGAGGTTGAAGGTATATAACAGCATTTTTCAACTAGTTGTTTATTTTAATTTTAAAATACTACGACGCACAAACAGCATCATCTCTGAACTAAAAAAATCTTAATAATCAATAATAAATCCTCAACTTGACGTTTTTCAAAATATATTTCTAAACTGGTAATATTCTAGAAAAAATATTTTAGTTGCCTTCTTGACTACATAGTATATCATCGATTAATTCTGGATTCTACAAACAATTTTTTAATATATGTGTCTACTAATCATTAAGTTTATAAAGACTTGATGGTTTAAAAAATTATTTTTGTATCTGTCATTTCTTTTGACACCCATCACGGACATTCAAAATATTTTCAAAGCCTGTGATAAACCAATTTAATCGCATTTGAATAATAATTAATATAACCACCATAATAACTTGTATCCACTCGATTTTATGAAAATATATAGAAACAAAAATAAAATATATTATTTTTTTTAATTAAAAAAAGAATTATTTTTATGTCCAAGAAAATACAAACATACCATACCGTATAATATGTATAATATATACATGTAATATAAAATTTTAATTTTCAAATTTCTGTCATTATATTTATTTTAAGTTAAAGAAAGGCCATATAAAATATTATTCATTTAAAATTTAATAAAAAAAATTGTTGGAAAGTGTTTTATGAATCATATAAGTTTACTAATTAAATAATAATAGTCATAGTACATTCTGCAATTTATTGTAAACATAGCATGTGAGAAAAAAGAAAGTGTTTTTTTTTCTCCGTAAAAGATGTTTGTTATTTGTTCAAGTCCAGAAAAAATTAGCCACTCCACGTTTATATTACAACGACTCTCGTAATCGTCGAAGTTTCACCATAGAGCAACGTAAATATTTTTTCTATTTTTTAAATGAATTTTGTTCTCAATAACAACTGTACCATTTTTGATATCATCGAACATGAAAATTACTAATATTCTATATTTATTAGACACAAAATTTATTTTTAACAAGTAGACGATAACTTCTTCAATCGGGTAACCTTGAAAATAAATCGAAATTATCGCGGGGAAGCATACATGCTATGCTATTCATACATGACCAACCAAGGTCTCGATTTCTTGACCAGTTTAACCACTTTCACGATAGATCTAATAAGAGAAGGAAAAAAACTAAATGTGAAAAGAAAGTATTTGGGCCACCCAAATCCTGTATTATACTTCCGTTGGTTGACAAAAAAAAAAATTCGCAAATGCAAGAAAAAATTAATTTGATGAAAAATTCAGCAGGTTTTCAAATGAATAAAATCCCAATTTAATTGTTTCAATTCTTACAATGACAAGAAGTTAAATTTATTGTTTTGGATTATTTTAATATAATGTAGTTCTTTCATAGTTTGTACATCAGTTTAGTTAAGTACATCAATATTCAATAGTCAGCATATGTTTTCCAATTACAAAATTTTCCTCTTTAATATTTTGCTTTTATAACATATGTTTAAATTATATATATATTTAGAGCAAAATAATAACAGTACACTTTTTTTTTCAGTGGCCGACGCTAGTGGACGTTATTCGTCACAGCTGTTTTTCGGTAATGATTTTTGGTTGGGGTCTCATACTCTCTGCAAGGAATTACAGAACAAAGCGACCAATCAATATGTGCCGCCGTTTGAAGCTGAATTCTATGTTGCGAAATTGGCAATAAAATTACATGATCAATTAACCCCTAAAGTAAGTACCTGCAACTATGTCGTCTAATAATAATTAGCAATATATAATACAACATACGTATTACTATATTAGAATAATAAGATAGTGCAAGTTGTATCATACTTTGTAATATACCTATAGAATTTGTGCAGTTATTATGAGTTTATGATTTTAGGTAGGTACCTATATACCCATTAAATTATATAATAAGATTTGACATCTGACTAACGAGTAAAACCATAGACTAACAGTTTAATCCAAATGGTGTTATACACGCCATTTAGGTACATATTATTATATTGTTAACGCGTGTTGTATATTATTATTCATTATAATACGTTGGGGCAAACGATGATTTAGTAGGATGTGCTGTCACGGACATAAATGAAAAATTATAGTATGTATATATCATATATATATATATATATATATATATGTAAATAAAAACAAGAGTCATGTGATGATAATAGATAAAAATATTACAACACGATAGTTTATATAAAATATACAAAAATGTCAAAACTCAAAGGTCATAAGGCTGTAGGTTGTCAACATTTTCAAAATGATAAATTATCATTTATCAGAGAAAGCACAATAATTACGATAGTCAACTATTTGTTGATGATAATCTTAGTCTAATTTTATTTTAATAATAATATATAAACCAAGTAGCAAATGTACACAATTTCAAAAACTTGAGTTTTTTTTAAAAAAAATTTTACTGCATATAATTTTCATATTGAATATTTCACATTTCATTATTTTCAAACTCCATTTATGAGTTTTGTGTATTATAACATTCAGATTTTTATTTATTTATTTTCATTTTTATCGATACTAAAATTGATGGGCTAATGGCTAAGATTGTTTATTGATTTGCATAGATAAAGTTTTTTAAGTACATTATGCCCCGTCGTAATTAACTATTTAACTTATCATAAATATTTGGATAAAAAAAAAAATGTGGTATTAACGATGGATATAATGTACGAGTATATACATTTAAATAAAATATATAAAGGCGTTTCAATTACAAACAATTATTATAATGTCTCATAGAATATTTAATGCTTATTTAAAATTATATTATGGTAACAAAAAATATTTGTTTTTATAGACTAGATTGATTTCACTTGGTTTGTGTATGCCAAAAGATTGCAGTTCTACGGATGTGCAAAATATGGTTAATGTTACCAAGGATGATAGTGGATCTAATTATCGCAGTTATAGTGTGCTCAATGTTAGAATTGTTCCAGGTACATACAGGTTGTGGTCGGATATTAAATTTCAAATATTATTGTAAGTGAAGATAACTGGATTTTAAATTTAATATTCACTTGAAAAACATCTAATATTATTATATTCATTTCGAAAATATAGATTGTTATTCATAAATATTTGATATTATTTTTAATAGTTTGTTTTTCATGGGTTTCAGGTTTGTTGTTGGGATAGTATCTTTATTGACAGTGATAGGATCAGTATATGAAATGATATTAGAACGTCGAAAAGTAAGAGAATTAAAAAAAAGGCGTATAGATCAAGGTAACAATAATGAAAGTGATTCTAAAGTGGAATTTACATTGGACAAAATGCATGCTATTGAAAAGATGCATAATATGAAAGATTGCGGAAATGGTGGTGAAACGTTATCAGACCAAGACATGTTATTTAAAGGTAAAATATATAAATAAATTAACAAACATATAATATTTACTATAATAAATTACTAAAATATTACGTTTGTGATGAATTAAAAAATTAATATTTAAAATGAAAGTAATTGAATTATTTTTTTCTTACTTATTTGGAAATTTAATCAAGTTTTCGATCAATAAAACTATTACAGGTGTATTTGAAAAAAATGTAAATGCGTTTAAAGATTAGACTCACGACTAATGATTCCATAAGATATTAAAAACATTAAATAAATAACTATACCAGTTGTAATAAAGAATTAACACTGTTAAAATATTTTTAACTAAATATTCAGTTATGAATAATTTTACTGATTCAATAAATTGTCCTTCAAAATGATAATTAATATTCTATAAACATTTTTCCTATGCTTTGTTATTATTAATAATAAGCCAATTTAAAAGTTAATTTATTATTTTGTTCAATTTCGTTATTGTTTATTTTATTTGTTTGTTCATTTTTTGATAATTAATATTCGTTAGACTACTAGAAATGGTATACGAGTATACATTGAATCTATAAAAATATATCTGAAAACTGTGATTGAATTGTATTGAATATTTAAGACATGTTTAAGACTTATTGTTAAATCCAATAAGTTAAAGTTGACTGTATTTTTTCAGTAGATAGGCGCACTTATATTGTCTATCTTAAACCAAAACATTCCATTCGAACATATTCTTATTTCTTTGTATACAAATATATTATATCCATGTAAACTAAAAGATAATGTACCTACGATTATAATTTCTTATTTTTCTGCTGCTGCATTGTTTTTATTGTACTTAAATACTATGAGTTGGTACCTAATTTCATAAGTTAGGTTGCTGATTACATAAAAACTGTTTTCTACAGTTCTAGATAATCACTTTTTATCCTAACATATTTAATACACGATGGAAAATCTATTAATGCATAATTTGTGGTAAATAAAATATTTTCTGGTGTAGATTTTCAATTGTATTTACAAATGAAAATGCTTAACAATTCATATAATATAATCTATGCTTACATTATAGATTAAATTAATTTTTTTATAACTTTATATTTCATTACATTTTACATTCATGCTACATGACTTTGTTTTGTATAGTTAGTCGCAACGAACAAATTATATTGGCTTTTTCGGCTGTAAGTAATGGCCGAAAAATTTTACATTGCGGACCAGCGCCATCTGAATCGTTGACTTGTGTACACGGACTTCGATTTTTAAGTTTGGCGTGGGTTATAATGGTACACACGTATTTACAAGTGTTTTCAATCGCAGGTTAGTTCAACGTTTGTATAAATGCATAAATGATAAATGGATTTAAATGATGACATCGAAAACTAATGATTAACAATATATTATTATTTTGTTTTAATATGAACGTAGAAAACAAGACATTACGGACATTGACTGAGAGGAACTTTATGTTTCAAACAGTGAGCAACGCAACATTTTCAGTAGATACTTTCTTTTTTATCAGGTAAAATAAATAGCAATAATAAAAATTGCAATAATTTCTAATTTTACGTTGCCGACATATTTGTTTGTTCGCAGTGGTCTATTGGTTACTTATTTGTATTACAAGACGACCAACAAAAAAGATGGACCAGAAATAGCTGTATCTCGAACTCCGAAATGTAGTTCTTCTATTCTGAAAAATGATACGATTAAATTTTTAAAACTGCTGGGATATAGATTTATCAGGTAATTTTATAAAAATAACTAGTATAATAAGCAATAAATATATATATATTTTTTAATCAAATATCTATTTAATTACAATTTGGGGAGTAAATTTTAAATTTGAATGTTAATGTATCTCCAATTTGGTAAGATAACTATTGATTGATATAATTATTTATACCTATAATTAATATCTCATTTACTATTCTTATAATCTTAACATTCAATAACTAGTTAGTAATTAAAAGTTAATTTTTCTTCAGACAAGTAATAAATTATCATTTGATAGATAGATATCTTAATGCATTTATTTAGTTTTGAACGAACAAATCCAAACAACTTACGAGCACGTTTAAAAACACGATAAGACAATATTTTTATCCAAATGTATGTCCTTAACTTAATAAAATATAAATAAGTTTTATTTTATTTTATAATGTTTCAAAATTATATTACTATCTAAAATAATTTTCGTAATATAAATTGAATATATAATTACAATAAATTGTCCATGAAATGTAATGAGAAAAATAATATTTTACATTAAATTTGAGCTGAGACGATAATAATACCTAGGTATTATGAATACGAATAAAAAAAATCATGCGTTATGTCTCGATTAGCAGTTGGACTAGGTCGATTTACACTTAACGTCAATTTTCTATCATTGCACACACTAATTTCATAAAATTAATAAATCATTGCAATAACAAAATATGTGTTCAGCGCTAGGAATAAAAAACACTATTAATTAGACGTCTGACACAAATTGTATAATAATAATTATAGTTCAAATATTACTTAGATAGTGATAGTAAAGCTATAGTTAATAACATTGCGTTAAGATCGTATACGTTGCTGACCATGCTTTATGATTGTAATAATATTATACTGCAGGTACAGCTATTTAAAAATTGACTAATACACGAGCCTACCGACGGGAAATTATTACGTTTTTAGTACATAAACCCGAAATGTGTGTAACCAGCATATTGGTTATATTATATTATTATGTCGTAATACTCGTATAATGTCGTTAGATTTGATTTTATTGACCTACAGAAAATAAAATACCTACGATAAAATAATGATAGGAAATATTATCACATAAGCAGTAGGTAAGTCTGGATGTCTGATTACTATAATTTCGCGGTTATGTTAAAATTCGTTAGAAACAGTTGACCGTAAATAACACGAGATTTCAATGTTAAAATTAATCCGAATAATAGATGATGTGAGTGTACTTGCAGCAAACTTGGACGGTAACTCTTGTTAAATCGGAACAGTGTTTTGCAAGGACCTACTTTTACTTGAACGTCAATATGCAACGAGTTCAAGTGCGTTCAAGTTATTTTTGAGATTTTTTTCTATCTTTCTTATATCTCAACTAAACGTTATAATAAGATATTGCGTAAAAATGAATAAGTTTATAGTATGTGTAAGCTAGTTGATGTCACATAAGCAATTTACACACGTGTCTTCCGTTTATAGGCACAACACGCGCTATAGATAGATCGCAAAAACAAGAAAATTATTTATTCTCCTCTGATCGCCTTATTAATATTTAGGTTGTGTCTTAACGTGTATACAAATTGAATCAAAACTGTTTGTAGTTTTCTAGTTTGATAAAGGTTGCTCATTAGTGCACTCTATTAATTCAATATAAACGAATGCATTTCATTTTCAAAAACTTATTTTACATTTAATGATTTAAATAATTGCTTAAGTATAATAGCAGTAGATATTATAAGATTTCAAAACTAATATTTTATTACAATACGCGTTTCATAATAGTCATAAACTATGTATACAAAATCATTATATTATATAATTGAATATATACTATGAAGACAATCAGGAGTAACGAGTTTTCATTCAATTTTTTTACAAAAAATAAAACGCGTTTTGCTAAGTTTGTAATACCATTATGTCTCTCCCGTTCATCAACAGTTGTTCAAAAGAAAAAAAACTATTTGATAATTAAAGTTAATATTATAGTGAAAGCAGACAACATTTTAATCATATTTTGTGTACGTATAGTATTTTCGTGCGTTTAAACTGTTATAAAACATAATTAAACGTATATAATTTCTATTGTTATGAAGAAAAAACGATACTATCAACATATCTTTATTGAAAAGACTCACAGTTGTAATCACGGAGCGTTCATTAATATCGTGTATTCTGTGTGCAGCGAGTATCATAACAATATGTATAAACACATATAAATAAATTAAAAGTACTAACTGTAACACGTATTGGTATTATTCATAAAATAATGGTAAGTTTATGAATGAATGGTTTATAGCGTCATTCTGACTATGGTGGATACTTTTTTATTTTTTGCATAATATTGAGAATTTGGTCGACAAAAAAAAAATATATATATAATCATCTCCTTTTTTTCTGAGAATCCTCTTTTTACTTTTTAAGTATGAACAGTGACTCCACACAGTAACTTACTTTATGATACGATGATAAATCAGAATTGATAATAGTCGAAAACCATGATAGACAATTATGCCTGATAAGTACGCGACATTTAGAAATGTCAAAGACAAAATATGCTTCTGTATGATTAAGTATTTTTACGTAAGTGAAAAATTATCATCAAATTACAGAAATTTTTAAAGAAACTAGTTGCATAGCACTATAGCATGGTTATAAGTTTTAGTGTGTAATTTTGGGGTTTTTTTTTTGTTATTTTCTTTAGTCACAATAAATTGTCACATGCTTATTTTAAGTGGTCTTCCAGTGTTCGATTTTTATAATACACGTGTGAAAGTTTAGGACGACTTTCGTTTTTCATTCCGAAAAGCATACCAGATAAAAAGAGTAAATCATCATTTTTATTACATTGTCGTGGAGAAATAAATTATGAAATTAAAGTGGTCTTTATATTAATCGTTTTCCTATTTTCTTTTCTAATTAAAAATACAAATTAAAAAATATTTATTACTCTAAAATAGTTCTTACTAAGTAATAAATACTAATAATTACTGCACATAACTATTTTACATACTTTTAAGATTATCCATTTAAATTTTATTCTTAATACTTTTACCTACTTAACTTTTAATTTTATGTTAAATTCAGCAATGATGCTTCAGCTTCATTAACTTTTTTGAACATTAAATCTAGTTAAAATATAATATTACTGATTAGAGTGTTTTTAAATTAATTTGTAAGACCATCTAAAAATAGTTATTAGAATATAAAATATTCGTTTATTTGATTGTTTAAAATTTATTATTTTAACTATATTTAATAAACACGAAATAAATTAAATTCTAATCATGTTTATATACAAATTGTAATGTACTTACATACTAATTTTTTAGATTGACGCCAGCGTACATGGTCGTTCTTTTAATGGCGGAGGTGTCTAGCCGATGGCTTCGAAACATTTCCGTCTTTGAACCAGAGAACAACAACCACATAAGTTGCGCTAATTATTGGTGGAGAAATATGCTTTACATAAACAGCTTATATCCCAGAAGCGAAATGGTGATTATCTATTTATTATTTATCTATTCATTGGGCATTAGTCATTTCAAACATTTTACGTTTTTTACAGTGCATGTTGTGGAGTTGGTATATGTCCAACGACACGCAATTTTATGTTTTAGCAGTCATACTACTACTTGTTTCTGCCAGGTAAATAATTAATCATTGACCTTAAAATATGATTTTATTGTATTATGAACATATACAAAATATATATAATGGTCACAAAGGTACTATTGAATTAAAAATGCATTGTCAAATATTTGGCCCCAAAGAGAATTTCATAGTTACACAAAACATGAATGCATTACGACTAAACGTATACAAGAGACATTTTGTTTTTAGATAATTGAATAGAATTGAAATAAAATTGTAAAGTGTTGCTATACATAAGTCAATTATTATTATTTTTATTATAGACATTTTAAAGGAGCAGTTATTGGATTGGTGGCGTTCTTAATTGGATCATGGGTCGTCACAATATTTATTGCAGTACATTACAATTTTAGAGCAAGGTAAAAAGTTACAAAATATTCAATTTTAAGTTGTTTTATAAACATATAGCCAATACTGAAAGTTTGTTGATTTTATTCAGCTAATGTCGTTCAATAAATAATAAAACAAATTATTAAAAAAAAGAAATAATAAGTAAAAATAATTTATTAAATTATTATATTAAATGTGAAAATCATTTTTTACCTCTCTTTATAATATTTATAATAAAATAGAATTTTTTTTAAAGGATAGAGGAACCATTTGGATTATTTGATCAACTTTATGATAAACCATGGTCAAGACTTGGACCATATTTGTGCGGCATGTTCGCTGGATGGTTTTTGTTTGTTACTAAATGCAAATTAAAAATGTCTTTCGTAAGTATAAATTCATGGCTATAAAAACTTAAATATATTTCAAAATAAAACGTGTTTAGGTTCGTATCTTATCATAATGTGTCTTTTAATTTTTTTTTTATAAAAAAAGTTGTGAAATGGGTCACAATAGTTGCTGAGTCGTTAATATAGTTAAATTTAATTTGAAATTATTTTTATTGTTATCATATTTGCATTGAAAATTATAATCAATAACAGTAAAACAAATCAATTGTTTATTTCGGAAAATTGCCGAAGGCTTAATAATTACATTTTAATTAAAATATTTAACTTTGGATAACTGCATATAATTACCTACTTAGATAAATAATTATAACTTTAATCTAATTAAGGCATCAGTAAACAGCTACAGTTGTATTTAATTTTTCTTTTTTAAATAATGCATTTTATTTTTTAAATTAAGCCAATTATAAATAAAAATGTATAATATAATTGTATGTATGCTGTTTTTTAAGAATTTACTTTTACACTGATAGGGATATTATTTTTATGTTTAAAAGCTAGAATAACTTAAGCATATTATATTAATTAATAGTATATTATACTATTTTAGAAATTATAAAAGTATATAAATTAAATTTAATATTTATTTAGTTATCATTAAAATCAGTTCATATTTCAGTTGATTTAAAAACATTATAATGGTGTAACGTCTCAGTGAATAAATTAATATTAATTTTTATGTGTGTACGATTAGGTATGTTTTGAAAATCATAGTTTTTTTTTTGTTCAAATAAAACAAGTATAAGTAGTGATGTAATTATATAAAAATTATATAACATAATATATATCTATTAATTATAAATTATCCCATTTTCGGTATATTTTAACGATCGCTAAGTGAACATGCGTGAATAATTGAAAAGTAAGCCGATATAAACCATTCATCTATATTTATATATTATTTAGTTATTGGCATTTTTTCGAAATTTTAATATTAAATCGTTGTTTGTGTGTAAGAAAATAAATAAAAGAAAATTCAACATTAAAAATTGTGATAAAATTATACAATTACTTAAAAGTGTATAAAAAACAACTTTTAGTGTAAAATTTATAATCAATATAATATTTTTTAGTCAAAAGTTCAAAATATTGAATACTTGTCATGTTATCTATGTGTAATAAAATACATAAAATTGATTATTAATTTAATTGTTTATCATATTTAACTTATATAGTACATAACTTTGTGCCTCCAACACAATCTTATAAGAACTAAGGAGCTAAATTAAACAAACCAATTAAACGAAATAGTTAAATCTTGTAAACGTGTAATAATTATTATAGACAAATAATGATGGTTCGAATGAATAAAAGTGTTAAGTGATATTTTCCATAATTTTTTGGGGTAATACTGTAAATTGTAATAGATATAAACATTCGCTTTCGTTAATCTCGTATCCCTGAAAATAATGATTAATCTGACTAAATATTTTACTGTAATGACGTATATTACGTTATGAAAATTTGTATGATAAAAACGATTTTCAAAAAATTACCCTTATGTTTTTATCCACTCATCGACTTTTGAAATTTATTATTATCGTTTGCACACCTATATCATATGTCCATTGTCTATATTATTATAATATCGTTTCATAGTTAACGGTTGCCGTGGGCTGGTTCCTGTCGCTGTTCAGCTTGGCGTACCTGGTGTACGGACTTCACGTAGTGCACTTGGACCTAGCCGGTTCCGCCCTGTATGCATCCGTCGGTCATTCAGCTTGGGGTGCTGCGCTCGCTTGGATCGTGATCGCCTGCTGCACCGGTCACGGGGGTTGTGTCAACTCGGCGCTATCATGTCGCCTACTCCAACCTCTTAGCCGTCTGACGTACTGTGCCTATCTTGTCCATCCCATTATCATGACCATGACCAACTTCCAAATGGACGGCCCGTTGCACCTGCACAATCTGATCACGGTAAGTGCATTCAGCGGATACAATACTTATTGGCTATCGCTGTAACATATAACCTAGCAGCATTTTGAAGAATGTCTCACCGCATTGTTTACATCCACCTCCTCCTGAAATATAAGTGTTTAAATTTAACTATAATTTGACATAAAAAAAAAAAAAAGTATAACAATTTAAAATTTTCATTGTCTTAAAACCCCGTAACGAGTTTAATTTACTACGTTACAAACGGGTGGGTGATCAAATTTAAGAGTAAAATATTATATTTTTAAAATCCACTCTTACTAATAATGAAAACGCTTCAATCGTATTATCATATGTAGGTTAGATTTTTTCTTTTTCAAATCACAAGCATTTGTTTACCTATTATTACGACGACGTTGATAACAATCGTGTGTGTATACTTTCACTAATGTCACTAGATATTATTTAATTAGTGATTAACTTCGAACGTATAACTGTAGTAGGTACATTATAGTAATATTGCATAAAACAACATAAATACATAACTGCGGTATGTGCGTGTAATGCGGGCGATCAAAGAAAGTACAATGTTTCATGGTGAGCTGGAGAATAAGAGATTTATACATCGTTGAAGTAACAATCACGTGATTTTGCCTGAGAACACTAACGAACGGCCATTAATGAATTCTGAATAAAAACGGAAATAAAATTCTTTTAGATATCTCACAGGTGAGTCTTGGATGTAATTTTATTATACAGAATAGTTATGATTGTGATTTTGATTGTGTGAATGTGTGTATATGACGTGTGTGATGTTTATAGGTGCAGGTAAATTTAATTGCTATGACACATATATGATTTAGTATATAGAAAATAATAAAAGAAATTAGTATAGTATTATTGTTATTGTTTTTACGAAACATTCTTAGTGACAATTGATTTGTGTTTAATAATAATTATAGTTGTCATTATCAAACATATCTTATCAATAAAAATATAAATATTTTATTGCTAAAAATGTATATATGTACAAACGGAGAAAGTAACAATAATTCATTATTGCACATTAATTTATACAATAAATTGTTAAAAAACGTGAACCAAAACTATACAATACTGTAACGTAGCGCATTATTTATGACGCCTACGCCGAAAATTAAATTTTCTAAAAGTTATCATCCAAATCAGATAAATATATATCATGAATACATCGATAAGTTTTGTTGAATACATAAAATACTAACTGGTTATTGGGTGAGTCTCGTGCTGTTCTATTAAATAGTTTGATAAATGTATACATAGTGAATGGCAAAAACAGTTCATAATAGATTACCGTATATCGTTAGAGGTAATTTCGGAGACGGCGGAGGCGTGAAAAAAAATAATATGTGCGTAGGATGGCAATTTCAGTTTCTGATAATATGTAGCTGTTATATGCAGGTTGTGCCTCAAACGTCATTTACGATAGGCATAACTTACTTTTCACCCTTTCCACACTATACTCTATCGATTTGTTAGAAAATAGTTTATGTTTTTGTCATCTAACCGTTGACGACAAAACAAAAATGACTTTTTAATCGACCAATGTGTGTTTACTAATTGCTTATATTTTCCAGATGATATTGTACTTTGGCAACGCAGTAGCGTCTTTCTTGTTGTCTTTCTTTATTTCTCTCACATTTGAAGCACCCGTGGTGAACCTGCTCAAAATTATGTTGACGCCACCGCGGAGGAAGAAAACCTCGATGGAAAAAAACAGTTCCGAATTACAAGACTCGTAACACTGAAAACTGTTATAATAACAGTATAAAATTTGTCTAAAGATCTTTAAGTATAGTTTATATTAAATTATTTTCTAATATTAATAAAGATATTATAATGTAAATTATAAATATTTTCCAAAAAATTATTTAATGTTTATTTTTTACCACCCGAAACATTACTATAATGTATTGTTTCATAAGAATATGAATAAATTATTGCAAAATTCTATTCGATAAATCTTAGACTACACATTGACTCTACTTTGATGCTGTTACTTCGAAGTTACTGAAAATAAAGTTTTCAAACTATTACATATTTTCCACTCTTATAAGTTTGTCGTTAGTGATATTACAGCCATTAGAGTTAGAATAAATGAAGATATAATACAATTGAGAATTTCCTAGGGGCAATGATAATTTTGTCATCTAATGACTGTAGAATTAACAAATGTTTTTACAAATTACAAATAACATTTTTTGAATAAATTCCACAAGTTTTTATGGATCTACTTTTCTTTAAACACGGTTTATTCCAATTATAAGCTATAGCTAAATAAGTATATGATAGAACCTGTCATTAGTTTTTTAAACTAACACATTTTTATTATTAAATCCTGTAACTAATGTTAAAAAATATATTAAATAAAATATAATATTTAAACTTCATAAAATAATAATGGATAATATGTAATATTTTAATGGTGATTTCATATTGAGTCATAAATAATTTTGAATTGGATATTATATTATTACATATTTAATTTTTAAAGCGTACAGTCACTGATTATAAACCGAAAAATTAGTGTTTCCGACGTCATTATTTTTCACTGATAAGTACAATATTTTAGCTCTTAATTCATCAATAAAAATTATAAAAACAGAAAAAATAAATTGCTAAATGCTTGTATTCTTTAAAAATCTTCTAATAATACAAAGTACTATATGATTTTCTTATGTTCGTTGGTGCAAAAAACGTTGTACATGTTAACATCCAACATTATTTAAATATATTATTACTGTAGATAAACCACATGAATTATATATAATTTAGTGTTGTATAATATAATACTAGGAATACCTTCATGGCATTTTGAAATGAATAATTACGATATTTTACAACATTACTTCCAGGGTAAATTGTATTAAGATTGCATATACAATGCGCCGCGTTATAAAAACATACTGATACTATCATATTTATTTTCATTAGTTAAAATATATTTCAACATTAACTTTTTTTTAACTAAAGCACACATTTTTATTTTCAAATGAGACTGTAATTTTATTTATTTTTTAGAGTCTATTAAAATAATCAATATTTATATGTAAGTTGAATAAATATTGCATGATACAGAATATATGCTGGTTATCATGTATGAAGAAATATGAAATGTATAATCTGAATAAATATAATCAAATTAGACATAAAACTTATATTTTTTTTTATATCCACAATATTTTTTCTAAAATTAAAAAATAAAAATAAAAAATGAGGAAAGTAAATAACCATTCTACTGTACAATAGATATTGAGTGAACCTCATCGTTGAGGAGTAAATTTTAATGTATGTGTTAAATTAGAATCTGTAATAACAAATGATTCTAAGTGAACACGCTCTATCACTTATCAGCCTATAATTAAAAAATAAAATACTATTTTAATATATTTTGAACATATTTTGGTTACAGTATGAACTACTTGTAAATCTTAAATTTAATTACCAATCCTTAGGTATGAAAATTAAACATTTCATACATTTGTAATTTAACCACAACTTGACCGGCAAATGTTCGTGATTTTAACTAATTTTTTCAAAATTTGAACTTCAAATACTTATAAACAAAAATTGTGCTTATAAATTTTTAATATTTTTAAATAAGTATGATAAAAATGTGTAAGGAAACCTATAATAAATTTTAAAACTTTTCAAATCAAAATTGAAAAATATTGGTTTGGAGTTACAGTTCTCGTTTTCCTCAGTTTTTAATTATGTTTTTCCTAATTATTTTGAAAAGTACTGGAAAATTTTTGATTTGGATTGCCTCTAAGTACTAACTAGATCCAATTTGCTGCCAGAAATCATATTTAAAGTTAAAAATCAAAGCATCTATACACTGATGCAAAAAAAAAAATAAATAAATAAAATAAAAAAGGATTAAATAAAATACACATTGTTTTATGATTAAAACTCTGTCTAGAATCTAATAATAGTCAACTTTATGAGATATTAAAACTCTTTTATAACTGCAGACTCTTTTGTAATTCGCTTTCCAAGAATGATTTTCTAATTCTGTAGCTGAATTGTTCATTTTATCTATTTTATTTTATAGATTAAATTTCATGTGTTAAATTATTTTGTATGTAACCATGCTTGATTTCATTGCAGCGTATGTAAGTGACAAATACATAACATGATTTACAAATGATACATTTCAATAAATAAATATTATAAGAATCAAATGATTAGTATTTCTCTAGCTAATTTTAATTTTACTTGGTCTTGATAAGTGTAATATTAAATAATATGAACAATGGGTATTTAATACCATAATGTAAACAATTTAAACCATAATATGAATTTAGAATTTTCGCACTTAATAATGTTATTATACACTTATAATTATTGTTCGACGCCAAAATTTTGGTTTTGTAATTTGATCAGTCAAATAGTTTAATACAAGAACCTACATTCTAAATATTATTAAATTATAACAATAAAAATAAATAAATTTTATGGATCAGTGGGTCCAAGGGCAGACTGTATGTTAAGAGGTTCGTGTAGTTCATCAGCTATTACTTATTGGGGCTCAGAATTGAGTATATTAATACATTACATTTTAGATTATTCATCTTTCTAGTTAATAGTTTTATCAAAAAAATTTTCTATACTCTTACACTTCATATAATTATATAAATATGAACAATCTATTTATGAAACAAATTGAATTTAAACATCAAATTAAAAAAAAATTAATAATTTTCTGGCCTCTACATAAAATATTAATAAATACTTAATATCCCATTGACCACATTGTCTATAATTTTGATTTATCACGTTTCATTTTATTGCAAATAAAAATAATAAACACATACGTATTATATTTGATAAAGAATGAATTATTAACAAAGATATATTGTTCATTAATAATTAATGTATTATGTTGGTACTTTTGTAATGTCCAAGGTTTTCAAGAAGAATATTAAGACATAGTTATTTAAATTAAAATGATTATATAGGTAATATAGATAAATACTAATATTGACATTTATTTATTGTACACAGTACATCATGTATTATAAATTTACTTAGAATTTGAGAGTAGTAGATACTGTAGACTCTACAGTGTAGAGCAGTGGTCGGCAATAGGCGGCCCGCGAAGGAAAAATAATTGGACCACAAAAAATATATTTTTTAATAATGCTGGTTTTCCACACATAAAATATATTTTATCTATTTTATGATATATTTAGAGATTACGATGGTGTTTATCGTTTATTGCTATTTACAATAATAGTTGCGATAACACAACAATTATTAACTAATATCTGAGTTTTAAGTTTTTACTGGCCCTCGAAATTTTTTTTTTTTTGATTTTCTGGACCTCCATAAAATTTAATTGCCGACCTCTGGTGTAGAGCGTAGAATGTAGATACTCAATTTTATGTGCGAATGTTGAAATATTGCATTGATTACGACATGAATGCGTTTGATAAAAAATATGAAATTATATTAGTTTATATTACGAACATTACTAACGCTTCGCTTATCGGCAATAGTGTAAAAATACTCAGCTTACAATATTCAATTTATAGAATTCTTTGGATTTAAAAATCCGTGGCAACATTATTGTATAATTCTTGTAGTCTCGATCATAATTTCTTATAAGCTTATAAGTAAATTAATGATGACATAATCGAGTGCCCGGTAGACAATTGTCTCTCGCTCCCTGGCCAGATCATCATTGAGTGAATCGAATACGAGAATATTTTCATTAGAATAAAGGTCAAGAACACCGCCAATTTTTTAAATTAACATATATATTTATATTTAATTATTACGATATGAGATTGAATTATTTGAATTTATTATAAATACATAGATTATTTATTTTACATAAAAATTAATATTTACGCGTGTGTAAAAATAAAATACAAAAATACCTATAATTTAAATATTTATATGTTTTATAAAGGTTGGTTGAGCAATTAAAACAAATAGCTTATTATATAATATAAAAAATATACTACTGCTCTAATTCAAAATATTGCACATACTTTTCAATAGGTAGGCTCTTAAGTCTAAATTAACAAGATTGTTATTATTGAACTATCTTAAATGTTATCTAAATACTAAATACAGATCTTAAACAATTTATATGTTCGTATAACTGTATGCAAATGCTATGAATATAATATTATGTAATTAATCTAAAGTATATATTATACATTTTTTTACCTTATATAACTAATAATTACCTTGTAAACATACAAATTATATGCTTGTGAATTTATACTACGTATTTATTCTAAATTTTACCTTTGGAGAGAATTTTAAAGAGAAATACTTGGCGTTTCGTCTAAATTTAAGTATATTATTATATTATTATTATTAAAAAATAATTCTTAATCAAAACACGTAAAGGCTAACAGAGATGCTATTCAGTCAAGCGGTAATCAATATTGTACTTTAACCAATATACCTATGTACCATATACCTACTTTAAAACTTTGTACAACTGTTGGTAAATGAATTAAATTGTACTCGCTAAACACCATAATTATAGTTTATACTCGATAGGCTTAACAATCACAATGAAACGACATAATATTTTAAGCTTACAGTGTTTGTTTTTTTCTTTTAATCAACTATAAGCTACATAATGCTATATAATACGTACGAGTATGTACATTAAGAACGCCAACGTTTAAAAATAACACTAATACCATAATCATAATAAATTATCATATAACGTAGATGTATTCTCTACATGTTCAGTCTAATAGAGTCCCGATGGGAAATCTGTGAGCTTCCCCGTGGAAACAGACATGTTGATGTGCTGTAGCGCTTTCAAGCCGTTTGAACTACCACCTGAACTCAGCTTGCACTTAGAACTCGGGTCTTTTCCTCCGCCGACGGTGGTGGTGGTGGTGGAGTCCTTGTATCCGGAATACAGTCCAGCGTTGTTGTGGCCCCGGGTCATGAAGACCTTGGGTTCTTTAGTGACCTTGCTACCCATTGGTAAGTACACGGACCTTTCGGACTTGCAGTGGTCGAACCTTATGACAGGTATCCGTGAATCGTTGACGTTCCTAGTGCTCGCTGACCTCGTTACCGGTCTATTGTGAGCATACATCGAGTTTTCCGGTTGAGTCGCGTTGCCGAAGACGTTGTATATCGATTTTCGTCTACCTCCGTCCTTGGTTTTCTCCTCGTCCTCCACGCGGTGACTGTGCAGCGCCAGATCTGAAAACCGTTTTATCTGTTTCTGGACCGAATGAAACGTTTCGCTCCGTTTTATTTTGGACTTAATTTCCTCATCATCCTCCTCGTAAGCGCACTCGGAGTCGTTGCTCTCCTCGTCGTCCTCGAAAAATGGATTGACTTCAAAGTTTTTGTTCATGAATAAGCTCCTGGACCTCCTTGGTGGTTCGGGAACAATTCTGGTAGGTATGATTACCACGTCGTCCGTGTCGGAATACTCGTAATACCGTTTGGAATTATCGCTGCTCACTGACGACATCTTTCGTCCACCACCCGACTCAGTGGACGCATCATTTATGACCTTATCAAAGTCTTCAAGCACTTCCTCAATGGTCGTATCACCTTGTGATACGCTATACATTTTGTAGGGAACCTTTACTTTCTTAGACGATACTTCTTCTTCGCAGTCGTCTTGTTCGGAAGAACTGATACCTTCGTCTTCAGCAGAATTACCCCCGCCTTCAATTTTATTCTTTTGCGATATATCCGCGTGATCTTTGCGCGAAGAAATTACACGTTTCTCTTCTTGGAGAAGCTAAATATCAATAACAAAACGATAAGTAAATTAATTAATATATCAATCGTCAATCGACAAGTATGGTTGTATGTTATACTCACGTGAATTTTTTTTTCTAGCATGACTACTTTCTCTCTAAGAGACTTAGCCTCTCTGATGACCTCATCATGCTGTCTTTTTAGTGATTCAACATTTATGAAATTTTTCTGCCATCTGTATATCTCATCTGATACGGAACTCAACAATGGAGATTTGTTGGAAATATTCTAAAATTACGACCGTGTTAACTCAAGACGATTATTATTTTTATTTTTTTTTAATGCATCTTACTTTTAGTATAGCTGCAGGTTTAAAACCAGCTTGTTTGAGTTCGGCTTGCACATAAAACTTTGTCTGAAGATCCGGACATGTTTCTGTGAAGGCGTTTATAAACTTTAAGCCAGCCAACAGCAGTTCCATACCGGAACTGCCGCTACCGGACATCATTCCCACTAGAAATCTGAATCTGACGGGCTCGGCAAATCTAAGTCGCATGGTACTCATCGCGTCCGAAACCGTATTGTGTCCGTCTACCGTACCTGATTCACAGCACGCCTTGGTTAGTAACTATAAACACACAAATGCAATCGAATTGTCATCAAATATAGCACAATATTTTCTGTCAGTGAAAACATTTTTGAATCGTACGTCGTTACGCTAAGTATAACACAGAATGTTTACTGACATTAGATAGATACTAAATCGATATTTTCGTGCTTTCGGTTAATTATTTTACATATTTGTTTATAAGTAATTGTATAATATTAATCTAAAACATTGTGTCTTAAAAATGACTCGACGAACAATTATTAATACGTTTAATTTCAAACAGAATACGTTCTCACAAACCTCCAAAGTCAGTAGACGAGACTGATTAACAGTGCTCATGATGCACGCGGCGAGCGTATACAGCCCGGCCGGAGATATAGCCAATTTCCTAGCCGCATCCTGACAGCGTAGGCAATACTTCAAACATTGCAGGCACGCGTTTTCGTCCAATGTGATACGGCGCTGGTTTGCTGGAGTACATTTTGTTTGTGTGCCGTTTTGTTGGATAGTTTTCAGGAGCTCCAGCAACAACGTCACTCCGTCTATTGGGTCGCCGACGAATTCTTGTACGAAGCTATAGATTTTTGAAGGAAAACAAAACAGAATAAAAAAATTATACATTTAAGTACCGAACAACTCTTTCCTTTTTTTTTTTTAATTAATTAACTAATTAATAGTTTAAAACTTTTGACCCAATATGGATAGTGTGATTGGTACCTATCTTCTACAGTAAGGACACCATCACTTCTAACATCCTGTGCAAGGCCACAGCACGCAATCTTACATATTATATCGCAGACATTCAATTAAACTGGACTGTTGGTATTCCGAATTATCAATTTATTTTTTCATACATAGTACGCGTACGACGTACTAGCTATACTATCCAATATATACTTATATTTATGTATTATATTATGTGTTATACTAACCGGCTGATAAACAATTTATTATTACCTTTTACGTTACATTTTTATCTCGTTCCCGCTTGAAATAAATGACCGGTACCGGTTTTAGTGGTTAATTAATACTGGCAGTGTTATAACCGTTATTCTTCGGGTAAGCCGGTCGAGTTATATATTTATTTTATTTTTTTTTTTTACGCACGCTCATACACTAGGGCATTGGGACTCTGTATTACGTTATAATTTTTTTTTTACTAGTGTCAAACAGGAATAGCGAATAACATACGCACCACTATAATTAAATTGAACGTATTGATTCTAACAACCGATAACATCTCTTTATTCTAATGACCTACAAACAAAATCACATTTTCGTGTTTACAACGGTTTAATTTGCGGCGTGTAACTCGGTCGTAACAAATCGTAGCCAATTCATAAAAGATGTACTCGGCTACTTAATTTTATTTTACCATACTTGAAAATAATGGTATTCACTAAGTGTACTGCGTCTTTATTTGGCATATCGAAAGATATTTTTACATTTCTCAAAACGTACTATTTACTTATTACCTAAAGCTTTATCTTAATTTTCAATTTTTACGCCTATTTTTAATTTTTTCCATTAAAAGTTTAAAAATAATTTATTATATTTACTATTTTCTCAATATAACTTACAATTCATTAGAATATATTTAGTATGAAACGTAATCGAAATAAATTGAAACTATTTGAAATCAAATTTATCAAACAATAATTGGGAATTTTTTATTAACTCTAGAATCTGTTTAATAAATGATTATAACATTATTTTTTTATTTATCCATTACCGGAATACAGGATGCAGCGGTTTTTAATTAATTTTATCATTTGTATTTACGACGAATACACTCATTCCTTTTTTGGTAAGTCATCATTTTCTACCAAATGCAATAGATGTATTATAGCCTGAGCGTGAAGAGCTTTAAATTATATAAATAGCTTAGGAACAATTGAATTCGCGAATTTAACAAGGTTGTTTAGGTCATAATTACAAATGTGCTAAAAAATACGTGATTTGAAAATTAATTAGTTTTATTTTTATTTTCATTTTATTTTTTTTTCTATTGGACTAAAATCATGTGCGCGATATGTAATAAAATCTTTTATCTATATAAAATGACCTTTATAATGTTATGTATATAAAATGGCTAAACATTTTTAAAATTACTGGGTTAATCTAAAATTTAATTTTAATAGATAACCGTGAAATTGTGATAAATGATCTGCTTTTAATCAAAATATTAAAATTCTACGATTTCACAAAATATAGTATACATATACTAAACAGTATATACATTTTACATCACTCTCTTAGTTCTAAAAATGAAATTAATAAATAAATTAATAAATACCTGAAATACGCAAGCTTTAGGTCGGAACTTAGTTTTTCCAGTAGCTCGGTAGCTGATGTGAATTCTTTTAGTGTCATTTCGGTTTCTTTCGGTTCGGGTGAGTCACCATTGTTGGCGTCCGACGTAGGCCCTCGTTTTCCAAATTTTCGCAGGGATCCAGCATAATCTTCCACATTATACACCGGTGGTCTTGGTTGGTCCTGTGACAATAACACAGAATTATCAATATTTTTTTCATTTGCACTTTTGCGATTATAGCAATAACAATAAACACAAATATTATAGTAAGCATAAACTGGTTAGATACAAAAGACGATTTGTTGTTAAAATTTTTCATAAAAAAAATATAAAAACTAAATTTTCAAAATAATTGTAAATGATAATTAAAAATAAATATTATAATGATATGTAATAATGGATAATATTTTACTTTTACAAAATATATTATAATTAAAACCCGTACTATTTTAACAGAAATCTCACTTTTAAAAACCGTAGTACCCAAGCATGGGATACGCGAGACAACGTTCCTTTTTCACGATTCGTTCTTTTTTCACGATTACAAAGCCGACAGGACTTCATGATTAGGGCGCGCGCACAAGACTAAGCGGACGTACTATTATTTTTTTTTTATTTTAGTAAATAAGACGGTTGTCGTATAATTGCCCATCCCCGGATAGTTTAATGAAAATAATTTCACTTTTCCGCTTTGCAGTGATTAAAAAAAAAAATCATAATTTTTATTCTAATACGATGTTGCTATTATTACGTGATTATAGTTTTAATGAGATCCCACGTTACAAATGAATAGCTGATTATTTTGGGAGCGGATTTCGCTATAAGTACAATTCTGTTATAATATGCTGAAACTCTAAACTTCTTTCGAGTTGTTATAATTGCCTTGTAACAATAAAACTTCGGTCAAATATGAAAAAAAAAAACACGAGCAACTTACTCGTGCATGAGAATTTTTCACACACTTAATTCTCTTCCCATCCATTACCCAATACCAAGTCACATCATCCTGCCAAATTGTATTCGTCCTGGGTAAATCCTCATACGTTGTCTTACCCTAACGGTATTCGATAACTGTACTACATAACTTAATTGTACGAAAACATTAAATAGAATTAGAATAACAAATATTACAACAGCACCCACACACACACACATAATTATCACAAGTCTTTATTTAACGTAATGTTATATGATTTGTAACAATTATATAAATTGATATAGGTATATAATAAATTAAACAAAATAATATAAGTTTTGACTATTTTTTATACAATTTAAAATATGAAGATTAATATGATTATATATATATATTATATTATTATATATTATATTATATATGGATTAAATGTGTATGTGTTTTTTTTTATAGTATACCAATCAACGCTTATAGTAATTATCTAAATAAACATTTATACTTAAAAATGTATAAATTAATTCGTATAATATAAAGCCAACCATTATCAACAAAAATAATTCAATTATTCAATCTCGCCACCTTTTAAAACTCATCTACTATAGTCTATAATATTAATAGTTCGAGAATTTAAAAGAAAATTCTATTTTTTCTGAATTCTACAAAAAATATTGTTTTTCTAATACGAAATTTGTTTCAAGTATAATGAACTAACTAACGGAACTGTAATTTGTATTTTTTGAATTGTATATTTTGAGAACATTTTTCGTATATTTTACGAGAAAAATTAAAGTTTTATGAACTACATCAACCTAAAGAAGTAAAAATTAAAAATCAGTTTAATAGGTCAAATTATTTTTATTGTGTATTCTGTTTATACCAGTTATATGTATGAGACAAAAAAGTGGTGGCAAATTCAATTTTTAATCTCGTGCGGATAGAAAATATGTATACAATATATTATATCAGTAGTAGTATAAAAATGTATGTTCTAGTGCCTAGTCCCTAGTCCTCCTAGTCTATCCACGCGCCTGCTATCGCGTATGTGCACGACAATACCCTCTAGCCCCCTCTCATTCTATCTATACATATCACATACGTTAGCATAATGGTGTGTGTATCATACGCTATGATATGTACAAAATCATTCGAAAATAAATCAAACCTTAACAGACACATCAAAAATGTTCACAGTTTGTACATATTGTTTTATTTAAAAAACAAATTGTATAACAAATATTAGTTTATTTTTATTAGGCATTACTAACAATTTTCCAACTCGCAAAAATACGATAAAGTCTACTCCGCAAATTATGTAGTATCAAACCCGCAGGCAGGATCATCAAACCAGGATCAACCAAGATTCAACAATTTAATTCAATATTCTATTGATTTCTTCATACTCAACATCACAATATTCCCGAGATAGTTGATAATAATTAAGTTCCAGCCATTTATTCGTTGTTCGACTCTTGTTATCCTGTTTAGAGCTTGAATTTTTAAAAATCCAGTGTTTGGTCACCCATGTTTCCATATCCACTGCAGACATTTCTTTTATCAAATTTATTATTAATTCCAAAACGCATTGAATGTCTACGATATTTGACGATGATGATGATTATATTGTATATAGTAGTATAAACTGAGTATAGTAGCTATAGATTAGTTCCACGTTAGTCCTCAAAGGACTACCGAACACGATCGTGTATATAGCTTAACTGAAATTAGTTTCTAATACCAATTGTATTAAACCCAATTTGTACGATTGCTTAATGACCCTTTTTACGTATAATTTTCTCGATTAAATATTTATTTCGGTGATTAGTTTTGTGTATTTCCTCAAAATGAAAACATCCAGCAATTGGTTTTCCCATATTATAATCTTGCAACTGATAAGTAACGGGTAATTTTTTATTTATTTTAATAATTTCAAATATTTCCGTAGACCAGTTTGTTAAATAACTTTTATAAACACACCTTTTTGGATATTAATCCGCACATTATCGCCTACGTTGAATTAAATTTTACATTATTAATTTCACGCTGCTTTATTTTCACTGTAAGTGGGTTAGCATCTGCTTATACCAGCGTCATTCTAATAGTTCTACATTTTAAATTATTATACTCTTAAAGCAACCCCGGTAAAATAGAAATCCATTTGTGAGAGCCTCGCGCAGTACCTCCGCTACAATAGCACCTAGGCCACGTAATCGACGTATTTCCGGACATATATTGTGTGGTGCGAGTTGCAATGGTCAATACAGCGATCGGGTCAAAGAAGAGGGCTGTAAAATTGTTATATCCATTGCCAATTCAAGACAATGACGATACAAGGCCAAACGATAGTTAATGAAAAATGTATTTATGAAAATTAAGTTCAACTTAATACCTATTTGCATGATTTTGTAAAAATACTATGTTAATAAAGGCAATTTTATTATTCTATATTTTTTCAGTGTGTTATTCAACTATATTGTAACTTTTTCAATTAGTATTTTTATTATATCCAATATCCTTTTTGATTGTAGGCTTATTTTTTATATTATATTTCAATTAATTTTTTAAGTTATTTTTGTTCTATTCGGCGACAGTGATATAAATAATTTATTATATTTTGAAGACTTTACTTCAAGGTGGTCTCTATGTTTAATGTACAAGTAATAGATATTATCAATTCACATTATACATTATTATCGTGCAGATAGTATTTATAATATCGCTCTGGATCGGGTAATAAAAGGCACGGGTGTCCAGTCCAAGCTCAATGACGCGTCAGGAACATTGCTCGTCGTATAGTGACACCCAAAAACAATCATTGTAAAATAGTGTGTTATTTCAATATTCATTTATTAATAATAAAATCATTAATTATTAACAGTTAATATTTAAACTATAAAATATAAACTATAAAGTTTAACAACTTAAATGTAAGCAACGCTTCACTGCGTACATACGCCACGCCACGAATCACTGATTCACATTATTCATAAATTATACGAGGCATGTTCACAAAGTAAGAGTCAGTACTCTTACTGTTTATACAACTGTTTGGCTTATAGAAAAAATGTATAATATACAATATTAGTTTTAGTATGTGTTAGTTTGGCTGGTAATGCACATTCAATTTTTTTTGTAAGTGCGAAATCAGTAAGTACTAAGTTTAAAATGCATAACAATTATTATAATTTTTAATTTTTTTTTTTTTTTAACGAACTCAAGAATAAAACTATTAAAGAAAAAAATAATGAAACGGAAAAACAATCTTTATCAATTGTAGAAAGCACTGAAAATAATTATGCCAGCATTATGCTAGCCCTTACTGAAAGGTAATCGCAAATTTCTAGATTATATCATGCCATAAAACAATTGTCAAAAGACAAAAAACATTCTAATTTCGTAAACAATATCAATGGGTCAGCTAATGTTGTTATTTATGAAAATAACAACACGATCCATCTTAACAAAACAAGTATATAATGACCGCTGCCCATGAGTCACGCCGTCCGGTGAGTTGTCATTATTCATACATTATACAAGACATGTCCACAAAGTAAGAATCAGTACTCTTACACTTTATACAAATGTTTGGCTGACGTGCTATAAGAATTTTTTTCCAAAAGTGTGCACAGTGGGGATCTCCTGAACCCTCAAGCACTGCCGATCCACATCATTACCAAAACTTGGCTCGTAATGTTCGTTTTTGTGAAAAATGTCGATAAGAAATCTCGCCAAGTGTAAAATGTGCGCTGTTATAAGGTTCCTTCTCGCAGAAGGAAAACCTCCAACTAAAATTTTTTCACAGATTTAACGGAAACATCCTATAATGTCCTATAATTTTTTTTAAGAACACGCACCTACATTTAAAAGCAAATTTATCATTATATTATTACTTTTATATAAAAACAAAAATATTTAATTTGAGAATTAGCCACTATAACTTCTTAATTCGGTGGTATTTATTTAATGAAATGTTCTTGTCAAATAATTAAAAACTATTTTTTGATACATTTAAAAAAACAGCACAAAAAAGATTTAAAAATAGCTTTTTTTTTTTTATTCTTTATGTATGAATAATGACAACTTACCGGACGGCGGGACTCGTGAGCAGCGGTCATTATATTCTTGTTTTGTTAAGATGGATCGTGTTGTTATTTCCATAAATAACAACATTAGCTGACTCATTGATATTGTTTACGAAATCAGAATGTTTTTTGTCTTTCGACAGTTGTTCTATGGCATGATATAATCTAGAAATTTGCGACTACCCTT